CCTAAAACGGTGTTCATCACGTAAGTTGGAAGTTCATTTGCCTTGTATTCGATTGCCATTGATTTTTGACTTTTGTATGAAACCAACCAAGGACATCTGAGTGAGTCTTGTTTGAGGCTACCCTTTTTGGGTGGACCAGCGGGGAATCGAGCCCGGGGCCGCCCGATCCCAAGGGCTGGTGTGCAATCCACGAGTCGCCTTCTGCACGAGATCCCGTGTTGGGGTGGTTCATTTCCAGATCAAGTTCGTTCCGCTGCGTTTCGGTATGGTTTGTACCCTTTGAGTCCCAGCTCCCAAAACTGGGAAATGTTCTTCTTACGCATTTCAACTCTTTCGAGCGTTGAAATGTGCGCGGGCCTGCTAAGGTTGACGAGTTGCGGGGCTTTGAAGATTCAGTCCAGGCATTGAAAATTCAATAGCAGAGCATTGAGAATCACTGATTCAATGCAAGGCTTCCTTGGGTTGAGGCAGCCCATACAAAAAGGGTTGTACCATTCATATATTATACATAACCAATTTTACATGTGCATAAGTTGGGTATGGGTCAAAATTAATCCACCAGGGGACCGCAGGTTTGAGTCCATGTTTCCACTTTCCAGGGTTCCATTTTGGGTACCTATTTTTGACCCACAGCCAGTCCCAGGCTGCCGAATTCACCGCCAGGCCTCGGCCAACTTGCTGCTGGGCGGCTTCCAGCTGCGTGGCGTCAGCCGCGCCTGGCCGCCGGGCGGCGCGGTGGTCCGGAGCTGCTCGGTGCAGGCGACGGGGTAGGGGCGTCCTTTTTTTTTTTTTCTGGGTGAAGTATAACGACCTCACACGACCTCGGTTGATGTGGGGAATGGCCCCCCAACCACCGTATTTCAGGCTGGTGAAATATTATGACTCACCCAGTTTTATCATTTTGCAGTCACCTTTTTTTCACGGCTTCTGCTGGTTGCCTAACACAGTGGCAACTGGAAGTGTGATTGGAGTTGGGCGCGCCATTTCCTTGGTGAAGTATTTTGTCAAGCGGTTACTGTTTAAAGAGCCTCCGTTTGCTTTCCCTTTCGACTAGGGAGGTGGGGTGAGAGTATGTTTTTGTGTTGATGCATGCTTGTCCGGGCACCACAGATCAAAAAGCCAGAACACGCTTTGGAAGACAAGGAACTTTCTGGCATGTGCCAGATGCAGTCTCATATGTGTGTATACGCATATATATATATATACATATGTATACATACAAATGTACATGTCTCTCTCAGCACTGCGCTTTTGCACCTGAGGACAGCTTCTAGGGATATGGGCGGCCCTTTCCTGTGCGAATGCTGCTTGCAAACCGAGTCCTTCAAACTAAAAAAGGGCAGATGCACATTCTCAGGGCAGGGTTTCCTCCATGTTCATTTGAGCTTGTGTTGCTGGAGGGGGCAAAGCTAGCTCCCAAGTTTTGTCAGCATACAGAACGTGCCCGGCTCAGCAGCAGGGGGCGGAGACTCGATTAATGGGGTCTTCAGTAAGGACCTCCACGTAGGAGCCTCCATTCGAAGCCTTGCAGGGGCCACGCAGGGCCTTCACAAACAAGCCTCCACAGAAGGGCCTCCACGGTAGGAGCCTGCAGACCCTCTCACGAACAGTCCACATAAGAAGAGCCTCACGTACGTGGGGCCTTCACAAGGCCTTCACAAAAGCGCCTCCATACCAGCTAGGTCTCCACGTGAAACCACATGTGGCCACACATGGACTCCTACATGGAGGCTGCCGCTTTCTGAAGGGCTTGCGTGGAGGCCGTTACAAGGCTCCCTCAAGGCTTCACATGGAGGCTTTTACGTGGAGGCCCCTTTCTTGAAGGCCTTCCGTGGAGGCAAGGTGTCATGTGCAAGCCCCTCTGCGACGCTTTCACAAAGAGGCGGAGTTTCCAAAGCTCCACGCAGGAGCCTCCATGCCACGTAGAAAAAGCATCCACGTAGATCCTTCCTATGAAGCCCTGTAAAGGCCACCACGCAGGGCTTTCACGAAGGAGCCTCCATGTAGGGCTTTCACAAAGAGGCTTGCGTAGACCTTGCAGGGGCCATGATGTAGCGGCCTTCATGTTCACGAGATTGATGGCCCCACACGCGGCTCCACCTCGCCGCAGAGCCTCTGTGGCCACGCCCAAACAGAACCAAGACGTTCTGCCTCCCCAAAAATGCTGCCTCAGGCATCCAGGAACCATGTCCTGCCTGGGCCATTGTCGAATGGACAACTACAACCGGCAATCGCTCTTTTTTCTAAGAATGCTTGGAAGGGGCCCCTTGGGTGCTGCAATGCAATTCACTCTTGCCCTCCCTCAATCATTTCGTCTGAAGAGAAGGTCATAAGTAGCAAATTGAAGGTTCCTTTCATGCTCAGAAGTCTCAAAGCGACCAGGCTGCTCGACGGCTGGCCCGCCATGCCTGTAAGACGTACGGGGCCCACATAGGGCTTTCAGAACAAATCTCTGGCTTCCCTCTTGCAGTGGAGAACCTTCTCTGGACCCTACATCGACGTCCTACGTGGAGACCCCTACGTGAAGGCCCACATCAAGCCCTTCTTTGCAGAAACTCCAAGCGCCAGGCCCGTGCTAAAAAATGTGGAAGAGCGAGTGCGCAGGCCTTACGTGGAAACCCAAACGTGGAGACTCGAGACCCTTCTGTGGGGATTTTATCTGCAAACCCCAACAACGTCAGTGGAGACCCCCGTACGTGGAGGCCTTCGTGGAGGCCTCTTGCGGAGGTCCTGTGCAGACCAAATGTGGAGACGTTTCTGGAAGCCCATCCTGCGCCAAGTGGCCAACCTGCCCTAGGTGCTATGTGGAGGCCCCTACATGGTAAGGGCTCCAACTTCAAATTTTCCACATCAAATCTCCACACAAAAGGTGTTGCACGTAGGCGTAGGGGCGTGTCTCCACACAAAAAATCTTCACGTCGGGGCTTCCTACACAGGAGGTTCCACGTTGGCGATTTAGATAAAATCTCCACAAAAGGGTCTCCAGTGCAGCACAGGACGTTCCATCGCGCTCCTGGCTTCAAGCTCCACACACAAGCCTCCACATCTCGATTTTGCATGCTGGGGCCTCCGCTTGATGAATTAGAAGGGCTTCCACACAGGGCCCAGAAGGGTCTCTACATGCCTCCGCATTGCGGTTTTGTCCATCTTGGCGCCTGCACTTTAAGGGTTCTAGATAGGGGTTGCACATTAGGGTTTGAGGGGTTCCATGCCGGAGCCTCGTCTACATAGGGCATTACGGCTCCACATCAGTTCTCTGGGCTTGGGGCTTCACAGTAGTTTCACATAAAAGGGACTTTTGGGGTCTCTAAGTAGGGGTTCGGTTCCTTCACAGTTTGGTTCCCCTCACGGTCAGTTCGCTGACGGTTCGGTTCCTAGCGTTCGGGTACCACGGTTCTTGGTAGGTTCCTGACCACCCTGCATCCATAATTGCTAAAGGATAAGATCAGTACTGTTCCATTTAGCAGACTTCAGGCTAAAAACGGATCCAAATAGTGGCAAGTCAATTTGGGTTTGATGAACAGTGAGCTGGTCTACATGCAATCAACCCACACGATATGGTCAGAACAACAAGCCTCCCGTTGGGCCACAAGTCACGGGCTGAAAACAAACAGGACCCAGCCATAGTATCCATGCAGAGAACGTGATCGCTTGGAGTTTAAGATGGCCGCAGAGGACGTTCCACTTGCTCAACCAATCAGCAGCGCGTGGCATTCCAGCCGTTTACGGATCGTAAGACGAGAACATATGAAGTCCGCTCACATGCGCAACGCAGTTTGTACCTGAACTGTTGAAGATGAACTGTAGCAACAACTTTGCTGGTTTCTTGCTACCATTGTTGCATTTGCTGATTGGTTGCCTCATGCGGATGTTCGGTCCAACTCATCACGCTGAGCAGGCGTGTTTGCACTGCGCGGTTCAAGTCAGGGCGAAGATGAAGGCCAGCTAACCATGGTAAGAAAGGTCAGTGGTATGTTCTTCCTAGTATTGTGTCCCAGACAAGCTAGTACATTTATTGTTGCTCAAAAATCAATCCATACTCCTTGTGCCACGTGGTAGTGGTGTCCCTTGTGGTAGCGATGTCATGCGGCGGGCTACGGATTAGGATTAGGAATCCCTCCCTTGGAGCCACCCAGAATCACTGGCGCTGTTACCAGGACCTTTTACTGGCAGTGTGCCGCGACTGCGGCAACCGCTACACCCCGGCGGACGTGCGCAGTGAAGCGCCCAGGAATTGTGTGAGCGGTTGTGGCTCAGATGTCAACCTTGGTGCCTCCCCGTTGCCGCTTCAGTTTTACCCTTTCTCATGCAGAGTAGATGCACTCACAATCTAATTAAAGTTGTTGAGTGGAACCCCTGATTTCCCAGCTTGTTCCCCTTCGCCACGAAAGTGTGCAACTCAACACGTTTCTCAACTGGCACATCATCCTTGAGCATGCGCCCCCCGACTCATTTCTTGGTTTCCTGCTTTTTGAAGGGCACGGTCATGGAAAGATCAACGCTGCAAAGGGAACCTCCGTCAGTCTTTGACCTTCACGGGGCGTGATTTTGGTGGTGCCCCTGACCCCCATGCTAGCGCTAGTTAGTGCTGGGGGGGCCCAAGGTGTTTGAATGCCTCGTAGGGAGTTCTTTGGGCGATTCGGGAGCAAGACCAACCACACTCTGTGCGGACCGGTTGCCCCCTCCATAGGGAGATTCGAAAGAACTTTGGCCAGCGTCCATGGATTACTTGCTTGGGATACATCAGGATTACTGTATTGTATATTTGTATATTCATCTGGAGAGAGGTGTTATACTCAATAGGAAGACTTGCAGCTTCCTCATCCGACTTCGTAGCAAGATCTTCCATTCTGTTTGCCGATATTCTGCCACTGGACGTTATTCATCCAGGAGTGGCTGATCCTAGTGTAATCCACAATCCACAGCTGGCGCGCCATCCATTTCCACCGGGACGGACGTCCTCAGGCTTGGAACCGCCCAGGCTTCGGCGGCGGACTGAGGCCAACGCAAATTGACCGTTCGACCTTTCGCTTCGCAGGTTTGGTTCGGTGTTGACCAGTTATGAGCCAAGCTGTCATCGATGCACGGCGACAGGGAAATAGGAGAAAAAAGGAAAAATACAGTTCCGCAGGAATGCCCTCCCCTCCTTTCCGCCGGGTTTCCGGGCAGACCAAAAACGGTTCCCTTTTATTCCTTTCCATCCACAGGCATGGAGCAATGTTCTGCAGGTCTTCTCAGTTTGACCAGCATGGAAGGTTTGTAAAAGCGCTGTATCCTGATCCCAGGTTCTTCACTGTTTCTCCGAAACATAAGACAAAGGATCATGGGCCTTTCCCGGGTTGACTGCCGGTCTTGTTGAAGTGAATAAAACAGATTCAATGTCTTTCGTATGAACGCATCTTTGGTGCGTCAACCAGGCACCTGGCACTAGATGTACTGCTTGACCCTGCGCACTTCCGTTCGGTAGCCCATCCGCCCGCCCGCGCCAGAGATCCGCCCAAGCTTCCAGCCCTCTCAATATGATGAGTTGGCATCTGATGGTTTGGCAACGAAAGAATCAAGCAGCAATTTGGTTTTATTCCAGGCATGGGTGATGCCACGTGAAAATCTGGAACTCGGCAGCACAAATCGAGAGAAGAGACATAGGAAGAGACAAGGATAGAAGGAGAAAGAGAGAGAGAGAGAGATCCAAACACAACCAGGCCAAGCAGCCAAAGCACGTATGGAACCAACGCATTTGTCCAAACAATTTCTCCCGCGCCATTACAAGCTGACCAGCTCCGGGCGCTTCTCGCGCCTTGGGTCAGCCAGATCTTTGGCAGCTGCTCGGCCGCCAGGGATGACGTGGGGTAATTGTGCATCCATAGGCGTCCTTTTTAGTTGATTTTAGCTAGAAATTCATGGCACTGGTTTAGGTTGGGTTTATTCCATTGACCAGGGCCATCTATTTTCCCAAAAAGGACACCTATGGGTGCTTCCAAGATCTTGATGCACATGCTGGACAGCTTGATTCCAATCATGTAGCTGATTTTATTCTGCTCTGTTCTTGGTGGAGATCCTTTTGAGGCAGGTGACGGCAGTTTCCGTTTGGGGTGTCCGAAAGTTGGAAAGGCACGTTCAGTTTGTCATTAGCTGGTTGGTATCGCGGGGGGTAGGGGGGGAGGGGAGGGGAGGATACTGACCAGAATATGCAATATTCAGATGCACACATGCAGTAACATTTTGTTAGTGCCATTTGGCAGACTGTGCTATGTTGGCATTGTGCGCCCACGCTGCAACAAGCCAATTTGGAGTCATTTAAAGCCTAGAGGCAAGATTGTTACATCGGAGCTTGCAGGTTCCAGGCTAGTTCAGATTGCTCCCAAATATTCCAAGACCGTAGAAGCACATAGAAGGACCCTATGTTTCTACCGGTTCCAACCGGACCTGAGCTCTGCAAGCTCTGCATGCAAGGCCATGGCGCCTTCGTCCATGAAGCCTTCGGCCAGCTCGGCGCCATCCTCCGCGGTGCAATTCGCCGAGTTCAACTCGAAGGCGAAGCCGCCGCGCAGCTTCGGGGCTCAAGGAACTGGCCTCACGTCACTGGAAGTTCCCGCGAAGTCTTTGCATTCAACGAAAACGCTGAGGTCTTGTGCAATCCTACCTGTCAGTGATTGATTTTGGATTGTTGAGTGTGTTTACGCGGACCCCGAGCATTGGCGCCACTGTTGGGACTTTGCTTTCCAGTTCGTTTGTTTGGGCGAGCAAGCATATTTGTTGTGGAGTCATCGACATGGTCACTCGAGATGTGTGTTGCAAGACGTGGCATGAACGCAGGGAGTCCACAGTTGAAGGCGGCTTGCAAACAAAGCAGCTCCTGGTTCAAGTGTTGCTCCCGCACGAAGAGGGGGGTCGCGAGTTTTTTTTCCCAGGTTTGGCGGGCTGGGTCGTGGAAGGATCCCCGGTCGGTCGGTCGATCTGTCGGTCAGTCGGTCGGTCGGTCGTTGGTGGGTGGGGGCTTTCTGGCTTTCGCTTAGCTAGCATCACTGTCAGGATGGTGTTTGCAACCCGCCTCAAACCAGCCACCCCAAACCCATACTGAACCAGCACTAAACTATCCCTAAGCCACCCTAATCCAAGTACCGCAAAGAATCCCCACCCTAGCCTAAACCAACCAAAAGCCCACCCTAAAGAAATCCTTTGCGGCTTTTTTCTGGGTCGGCACCGCCGCGCCAAACCTAGCAAAAAAAAGTCGCGCCGAACCTAGGACAAAGACACATCCGCCGAAAGAAAAAGGGGGCAATTGCCTAGCAAAGTTGGCGCGCCAGGCCGTTCTTGAGATCTTCCGAAGATGGGATGAGGACTGTCCGTGTCAGGTTTGGCACAACTCGGTGTCAAGAAGTGCAATGAGCTGCACAAGGCCAGATAGTTGATAGTCAACTGTAGGACGAAGAAGATGAATACCGAATAACATTAGGTATGACGACACTAGGCGCTTGTCACATGTCATTCACAGCTAGCTCACCGCTCTCAAGCTGCACATGCAGAGGATTGTCGTGATGTCCAAAGAAGACTGATGCACAGTGGATGCATGCCAAACGAAAGTTATACTTCTGTTGAGTACCTTGCTTGCAGATTAAGGTTGCTGGAGCCTGTGGAAAGTGGCAATGTGCTCAGAGCTCAGTTCCAGCCTTGCGTCTTCCTCATTCCTTCTCGGAGCCGCTCAAAGTTTGGGCTGGCATGTGCTGAAGCGAGCCCCGGGCTTCCAGCCAGTGGTACCCTGTGTTCTGTCTTGTTAGGGAGGGGGGGCTCCCTTTGAAGTCAACTCAACAGAAAACACTTATGTTGCCAGTTTTTCCACGACCACTGGAGGTCCGATCCCGACTTTCAGCATGGTGCGAATGCCCTGATCCAGCTTGGACACCGCAGGACAGCAGCGGCTGCATCGATCGAGACGAGCTGTCCAACATCATGTACAAGGCAGGGACCAGGGATGATTTCAAGGAACTGAGCCGATTTAGCATTTCCTGAATATGTATGGAACGTTAGGTCCCTAGGGTTTGTTGTATTTCTTCACAACATCCAAAGGAGTCTCTGACTTAGGCACGAAACGGACTCAAAGAGCAACACTGCCACTGTCAAATGCACGATGTTTCGCTTTGGGAGGTGATCGTCAAATATTTCCCAGATCGGCAACTCTGCCTGCGCAGCACCAGACATAGGGTTCTGAGCAAACTTTGTTTGCAGTGGACAAAAAACAAGAGATTACTTGTTCATCCCACGTGACGAAGAGTCGTTGGACAAGGAGGACAAAGACGTAAAATGGCCAAGCTTGTTTGCTCCACTGGCATGCGCCCTGCAAAGATTTGTGAGACGCCACATGAGGACTTGAGGCTATTGCTGAAGCCCTGCCATCCACCCCGCGATCAATCCAATGAGGTTGAGGAACAACACGCCGTGTTGCAGGAGAATTCAGCCTTGTGCTGTGTGTGATTCGGGGTCGGCAAGATGGGGCCCAACAGAGGTCAGTGGATGTTCTTTTGGCTTAGCAGCATGAGGTTGGGGAATCCGCCGTCTCAAGCTTGTAGAGCACTAAGCTGGTTCCCTTCTGGCCTTGGAGCAACGGGAAAGAGATGCATCCAGAGCTGTCAGCGGAGCCCATGCGGCCGTGGGTCAAAAACGTGTGCAAAAATGGCACTTTGGTGAATGGAACCAAAGACTACAGCCTGAGCAACCCTAGCTCTTTAATTTTGAGCCACAACCATGTTGCTCCCCATGGCGAACGGCAACAGAACCATGTTCCCGCATGAAGTGTTCGCCAGGTGTCACCCTCGCTAAGTGCTGATCAGCGACCCAGCTGCAGTTTGAGCTGTCGTGGTGAAACCAAAGACGTCCAGAGCCTCCTTGCACAGGAAGTGAGTCTGTTGTTGTTTTTTCCTGGGCTTGCCAGACACTATTCCTTCCGCCTATGCTTCACGCCTTGCAGTGAATTGCAACTGCTTCAAGCGCCTGGCTCCCATGTGACCAGGTGTCTTTCATAAACTGTAGAACATCCGACAAATTCAGCCGCAATGGATTGTTTTGCCACTGTAGCAGCACAGCAGCGGTTGAATATCCCAATTGCTAGAGAAAGAGACTGAAAAAGCAAGGTTGATACACGAGCCCATTTGGCCTGGTGCAACCACGCTTATATTATGTTATACTACTCGTAATTCGTGGTGTATTGCGGATACATAGGTCAGGTGGTAATTGCGGGTAGTTAGAATGTGCCTCGCTTCCCGGGTATTTTGACCGAACCCGTACGCATGAGCTGACCGGCCCAGGATCGATGTTCTTCTTGAATGCATCGACACCAACTTCGATGGCGCCTCCCGGCTGGCAAATGGCAAATCAAAACCTGAGTTCTGCTGGGACACCCTGGACTAGGTTAATTCAATATGGGAGTCGCGCCCATTTCGTCCGCACCTTTTTGGGGAAACACCCCGCAACTGATGCACCTGGTGGATTCCGGGATCGAAATTCGTGGAATCGCAATGTCCGTTCCGCCTTTGGAGTTCGGATTTTTCCCCAGTGTCCCTTGTTTGGTTCACTCATTGTTGTTCACGCAGTTGTATGCTTTTTGTTATGATGGAATCCAAAGGTATCCTCAAATGTCCGGCAGCCTTTGTCAGAGTGCGAGCTGTGTTGAATGGCAGTTGCTTCCTGTTGTTTACTTTCTTCCAAAATCGAGGCGACTCAGAACTGGTCAAGACAAGACACAGGTTCATGAAACCAGCGCTTGGGCAAGATGTGCATGGATAGTATGAAGACATGCAGAAATCCAGATCGTGTCAGGGTGTCCATTTGATGCACAATGCTTCTCATGGTAATGCTTCCGCAGCGGCCAAGTGGAGAGTGCGGTTTGCAGCTCGGTAGTTTCCCGAGGTCATCGACTACACGGAATTTGTGGCCTGGTTGACCAACCGGGCCGCTCAGTATACCGTGGGTACCGATGGCTGGATGACGGACTTCAATCTGAAGT